GCGCGGGGGCCTCAGTCAGTCGGCCTCTGAAACTGGATCTCATGACTTCATCCCCCAACACGAGCCTCTGCAAACAGCATCGACTGGCTCTGATGATCCACTTCTCAAAACCCCAAAACGTTATGATCCCAAACTTACCATTTCTGCATACGGTGAAAAATAAATAAAAAGCTTATTGTTTGTAATATTTTTATCGCCAAAATCTCGTTTTATCTCGTTCTCTCCACATGCGGGTCAATTTGAATGCTTTGATCACGAGGGAATATTATTATAGATATATTTAATCATTTCAAGTTATATGTCCAACACAAGACGGATGCACAAGAGTCTAAAGCTGTGCACTCAACAAGTCAAACTTGGATTAAAAACTCATTTTAAAATGTAGAAGACAGAAACAGTTTCCATTTCAAAGGTTGTTATGTCATGCACAGCTAGAGTGTAGCTGTGCCATGAACAACTTGGGTCACAGGTTCCTTAAACAGTGCAATATAAATATATAATACATACACAACAACAAAACAATAACAAATAGTGCAAGCTCAGGAGTTTAGCAACTAAAAAGGCAACTAATTTACCATTTTCTGCAGAAATATATGTCAGCTGTGAAAATAATCGCAACATCATCAAGCTTTGAACAACTGGTCAAATTGAAGACAAGTTGCACTAGTACACCAACATGACGCTGCATCCTGCTTTAATCACGAGGGCATATTGTTATATATGTTTAATCATCTCAAGTTATATGACCACCACAAGACGGATGCCCATGAGCCTAAAGCTGTGCACTTTAATTCAGAATCTCGTTGCTCAGACTTAATGGAACTAATAGCATAACACTTAATCACGTTACTTTCACTCTCCTCTCTCTCCTTGGGGTTAAACAAATGAAGCTCTCCTCTCTTTGAAACCTCAGAAGCGAGCAGAGCAAACGTTACTTAGAGAGGCTGCAGATAATGAGAGCCTGGTTGCATTAAATGGACAAACAGCAATCCGGCATCTCCTGACCCCTCCATGCTCCTCTCGGCTCCATTGATCATCCCCCCTTATGAGATAATGCAATTACAAACATCAATAAGGAGCTGCGAGGGGAATCATTATGTGGTGACAGTGATAAATGATGCTGCAGAAAATAGCGGGCTCCTCTCAAACAATCCGCGCGCCCAAGGGGCTTTTGAGGGCCCCGTCGCCAAGGAGACAGATGACATCCAAAATGGCGCAACAGTCCTCCTCTCTTCTCTTTCTCCCCTCCAACACCTCTCCCTCCTTTCTTTCCTCCTCCTTTTGTTTCCAAACCAGCTGCTGCGCGACCTTTTGAAGGTGGAGTTTTTTTTGGGGGGTTTGGAAAGTTTGTCCTGCGAGGCGTTTGGAGGCTTCTGTTTAATTTCTGTATGTGTCTATATCGATTTCATAAAGTGGCTCAGATATTGGCATGTCATATAAGCCATATGTGTATTTCCTGCGTAATGATTTTCGATTTGGAGGATGTAGGGAATTGATTGGGTGAGTATTGTTTTGCTGCGTGAAATATCTTCTCTATTTTCCCCTCGGGTTGGATCCTTATGGAGGCTGGAGGTAATGGAGGCCATATAAGGGGATATTTAACTCCTGGCTCTCAAATAAAATAAACTATATATAGAGAGAGCTTCGATTTCTGTTCAACCTGTTTTAGTCTTTTGTAATTATGGCATAAATTGCATTTAAATTTAATTTAAACAAAAAGCAAAAAGGGCAATGAAGACCAGAACACAGTCAGGATTTGTAATGTTGACCTGTGCTGAGTATATGTATTAAATAAATCCAGTTTGTCTGCACCCCACGTCCTGTCCGTGTTTTTCTCCACAACATAACCTTCTGTTGCAGCTTTTCTTTACTACTACTTGACTACAATTACAAAAGACAAATATTTGGCGTAAAGTGCATACGTCTAAAATGTAGCATGAAATAAAATACAATTTCATTTGCTCTCAGCACACACTGAGGAAAGGTTTGAGAAGCAGGCCTCGGCGTTCAGCAACCGGTGATTTTAATGAACAAACCTGCACACATTATTCCCGCCGAGCTTTGTCATGGCTCGTGCTGTAACAGAGACCAAGAGGCGCGCGGTTACTTGTCTGAGCTCCCTGTTTGAAACATATTGGCGCATAAATGTGCGTTGTTGTGGGAGGAAGACAGGCCTGTCCGGGCACCTCCGCTGCTCTGGAACACATTTCTGCTCCATTCATTACTGACAGTTCACTCCGCGGTCAGTGTGTGTGTGAGACTCAGAGGGGAGGAGGCCAAGTGGCCAACCATCATCATTAACTTCAAGTTACGTTAGGACTCTCAGTTTTTGAAAATTAGCACAAGTCAAACTTTTTATGGATACAAAATAATTTTAAAGGGCGGAAGAAGGAAACGGTCAAAAGGCAACTAACTTTCACATCTCAGCAGAAATATAGGTCAACTGTGACCAAAATGTTCCCGAAGATGCAAAATCATGACCATGTCAAAGTGCATCTGATAACAAATAAAGACAATTAGCAGAAATACACATAAAAGGACGTCCTTGTAGATTAAAACATGTCTATAATTATTATTATTGTTATTATTTAACGAGTTGATGAGTCTTAAATCATATTTATCCTTCAAAACCGTTACCATTATTAATGGAATAAGACGAATCAAGTTATTCCAGGAATTTATTGGAGGCAAATGTGTCCTTTTTATTCTAGTGGACACAAATGATTGGTGTTGTCTCTTAAGAAATCGGCATTTGTTAAAACGGAAATAAATAAATAAACAGTGACAATCATTCGTCATACTGGCACTTTTTTTTCAAAAATTGTAATATTTTGAACATGTCGTTTGTGTCTGAAATATAAAAACAAAACATATTTTAAACTACTTTTCTTTTGAATTGAAATTATTATTGTTATCAGTACACTATTTTGTTGCAGCTACACTTCCTTTGAATCTCTTTTCAGCTTTTCCACTTTTATCAAACTTCAACAAGCGCTTTTTTTGTGGTTTACGTCCGTGCGTAAAAGGAGAGGTGGTTCTGTGCGCCATCTCCAAACGTCCCTGCCCCGGACAGTTACCAGGCCTCCCTAAAGAGGGCAGTCAAGCATGGGCTTTCTCCTCTGTCTCCACAGCTCCCAGCGGCCACAGGCTCAGGAATTCACATTTCACAGCCTCGGATTTTCCAGCCATGGTGGAGAGGCGAAGCAATTAAAACGTCGCCTGGGTTTTTTAAGAGCGTGTCTTTTTTCCTTCTTCTTCTTTAGTGTAAATAGCATTCACTTCGGCAAAGGCAGTAAAAACACAATAGTTGCGCGGAGGAGAGATACAGAGGGAGAATGGGAGAGTATTGATTTACACGCGCATATTGTTATGGATAAAACAGACTCTCTCTTGTTCGATGGTCTGAAAAAAACAAGACTTTGGGATTCAGGGCTGCTCTCCGAAATGTATCAATTAGACAAAAGTCGCTCGGCTCTTCTCCCCTCGCCTCCTCAGTCGGCTCTGCCTCATGAGGTGCATTGAATCCCGGGGACAACATCGGCTGCACAGCGCTGGGTTCAAGCGGAGCCCTTTGACTGCGGGCAACAAGGCGTGAGGGAGAACTAATCTTCCCATTTACATGTTTGTAGCAATTTTACCTAAATGAATTTAAATGCTAAATGAAGGATAATTCGCTTTCTCGCCGAGCCCCTCGTTCCATGTGTGAGAAAATGTATAACGCATGCATTAGCTTCACATTATCCACAGCAATGGGAGAACCTGAGTGCATGTTTCTTTAAGAATACATGGACCTCTGCTTTCTTTCAAGGGACATTGTCACTTTTTTGAAACTAGTATTTTATTATATTTCTGCTTGTAGGAATATAATGTGAGACTAGTTGTGAGTTCTGTTATTTGAACAAAAAGTATTTATTTACAACACAGATTTACATATATACCCTTCAAAGTAAAAGCATAAGAAACATGACTTGTCTTCAAAGGAATCTTAAAGATGTGCGTAATACATGTTTGAAGCAATGGATAATGGATGCATTGATAACGCACACACACACACACACACTTTCCCCCCTCACATGCATACTGCCACACACACACACACACACACACACACACACACACACACACACACACACACACACACACACACACACACACACACACACACACACACACACACACACACACACACACACACACACACACACACACACACACACACACACACACACAGTGACTTTTACATTCTCTCCTGTCTGTTGATCAGCATAACATCAGCTGGTTTAATCAAAAATGAATGGACTGTGGTGGAAAAGGTGTTTTCCCATAGCCTCTGCCTCTCCCTGTTATCAGGCCGCATTAAACACTGAGGGGAAGAGAATCCATTGGCCATGCGAGTGCACAGCCTTGTGACATAAACACATCAATCGGACACTGGAATAGACGTCCAGTGTCGCTCAATCACAGACACACATGGAGAACAACAGGAAACAATGTGTTTGCAGGACACACACTTGTAGTTTCCCATCCGCTGTTACTTTTTTAGCTTGTTTATGAGCATCAGTTGAAGCTCTTTATCATGTTAGCCTGTCATGATGTAAACCATGTTGACACATACATTATTTATATGGATGAATTGGACAATGGCAGTATAATTAAAAACCTTGTTAATCCAAAATGTTAGCTTCTCAGAAACTCTGCTTAGCCTGATGTCATTGTTTTTGGAGTTAATCTAATGAGTTATTGTAGGGTTTATGTCCTCAAATGGTCAGTAAATGTTTATTCCAATTAAAACCTTCTACCAGCAGAAGAACATATAATCCAATGATATGAAAATGTTAAAAAAAAGGCATCACAATTGGAGTCACACAGCAACAGCAAGTAAGTTGCTTCCTGTATGTACGTGGATGGGCTGTGTGCACTGGATGTAAACAAGTCAAGTTTCAAGTGGACATCTGAATCACTCTCTTTCCATCCAAATAAAGGCCTGCGAGAAATGACAAACTGATCGAATTGTCCGTTTATTCACTTTCTTTTTCTTTTAAAAATGCATCGTGATTGAATGAAGGGAGGGGGCAGGAGGTCAAATTTGATGGAGACGGCACACACATAGTGTGGAAAGAAATCAGAAAAAAAGAGAAAAAAGTTCACATCCTTTTTAAAAAAAATCTATTAGAAACAACATAATATGCAGAACAATACAATAGCATTTACAATACTTAAATTCCCAGTTCTTGTGAGAGTCCAGCGTAATTTTACATCAGTATACAGTATATTTTCTTTCTCCACTCGCTTCCCAAACTAGGGTTTGATATAGTTATACTTTTTATTTCTTTTCTCTTGCTTTCCCTCCTTCCATGTTTCAATCCACTATATTTTTTAAAGGGCACCTCTTTTGCTTTGTTAGTGTCCTGTCAGATACAGACATTGGCTTCTCCTTGGTCCAATTCCATCGTCCCAAAGAGTGGAGTGCTCTTCACAGGATCTCTCTCTTGTTTACCAAAGAGTCTAGAATATATCACCAGGTGCTGCATTCGCCAAAGGTACAGGCAAAGGACACAGTGTGTCTCTCGTGTGTCGTCTATGCTCGCAATCGCAATCACAATCACTTGTAATGGAGGAGTCCATGTGAACCTTGTGGGCAGTGGCAAGGGGGCGAAGTCTAGTGCCCACCAGAGAAGAAGAAGAAGAAGCAGGGGTCAGTCGGGACAGGGGATCATCTGGTTTGGACATAGTTTGATCTTCTGTGCATCACCGTCGCTGGACACATAGACTTGGAAGGGTTGAAGGCAGTCATGGAAAGCTTCCATGTTGCAGATATCAGCCGAATAATATGTTGTTGGGTGTTGGAGGTGGACAGAGGGGTTACTGTTGGTTGTTGTCATCAGGAAGTCAAGGAGCCCTGTTCCCGTTCTCCGTAGGCCTCGGTGAGATAGGTGATCCCCGGGTTGCCCTGCCGTTCTGAGGAAAGAGGAGATCAACAGGGTTAACCAATGATCAGTTTTGGATCAGTAATGGATTGCATTTGGACAACAGATTGAAGTCTGCAAAAGTCTCTATTAATTATGTTTTTTGTATTTGAATAACTCAGTTTCTATGGGTTGAAACCCCTAGTGGTATGAACATTTGGTCATGTTGAAACATTAAAAAACTCGAGTGTATGTTCAAATTCACGCACATTTTATTAAGCTATAAACATGTTTACCGTAATTACTTGCACATTGCTCACGTTCAACTTCCAGAATTGTTTTCTATTTCTGTTTCTTCTTGCACTATTTATATTGAATCTTGAGTTGGCATATTGTCAGCACCGCTGGGACAGAGAGCATTTAATTGCAAAATGAATGAATGAGTTCGATATCATTAATCATTCATTAAATATCACAATAGATTACACCAGACTTCTGAAAGCAGACTCATGTTACAGCTTTAGGCTGATAGCACTTGAACATGGTCGGCCCGGCTGATATGTCTCTACAGAAGCAGTGTATTATGTGGGAACTTCTGCAGACCAAACAAAATGCTAATCTGGGTCAGAATACAAACTAAACCTGCCCTTACTAAGAATGCGTGGATACATTGGAGGATTTAGTGAGTTAATCCTACACCTTCTGTAATGCTACTTTAAAAGTAGCAGAGGACTTACAGACCAAACACACATGATCGACTTTAGGTGATACAGAGGCCATGTACTTAACATTTCCTGTATAATCTGTTTAACTGTACAGGGAATTTAAAATTAGTCTTTGATCATCAGGCAAACTATTTCAGGTTACTAATAACAGGAAATAAAATGCAATGTTGTTTTGAATTCTTAAACTCATGAACAAAGCCTTAATCTCACAGCCTAAGTCAACCGTAACCCTTTATACTGATGCAACCTGCTGCATGCCAACAAACCTCTGCATATAATGACAAATGGAGTAAACAAATCTATCTTCACCCTCTTCTCTCCCTACATTCCTCTCTTTACAGCCAACAATAGCTGCCATCCATCTCTGCTGGTGGAACGTCACCACCGAGGAACCGCAGCCATTGTTGTCTAAACCAAAGAGCTGGAGAGGCTCGCGGCCGCCGTCACCTGAGAGCTCCACCACGCGTTCACCACACACAAGAGGGCCACTACAGACCACACAATGGCAGGCAGGGGAAATAACAATGGGGTGTAGCGAGAGGACAACAGAGGAGTGAAGGCAAGGGTCCTCATTTCTTATTCCCCTCATCCATCAGCTCTCACCTGGGGAGAATAGGTGTGACTTGTGTAAGAGAAGGGTGAGCTATTATGAGAGCTTTCAATGAGGTTAGGAGGTTGGGGTTTACATATCTTTTTGGACCTAATTGCATCAAACATGTGACCTTTCCATTGTGTTGCATAACCAAGGGTAACAAAGCTAACCATTAGCAATGCTAGCTTCAATGCAGACCATGCTTTAAGCAATGATCCATTACATTCCCAATGAATATCGCTTTGAGTTTAAGTTTCCGAAAACTGTTTTTTTTTAATCAGAAGTCACTCTTTGATTGACATGCAGCCTAACACTACAACACTCACCATTGTCAACTCAAAATAAAAACAATACAATAAGACTCCATGTGAAGTTGTTTATTGCATTCATATTTAACCCTGGTTAACGAGAGCATCCCGAGGACTGAAGTCAATCCATGTCGAGGTACTAATAAACACTATGCGTGCTTGAAAGAGCACACTTGCTAATAAGGTTTTTCACTTAATAAGCCAATCAATACATTGAGCTGTTGGCCTCCTCACTCAGACTGCAAGAGGGATTTCAGAGGGGCCAACTCAACAGGGACCTACATTCATGGACAATACGAGGGGGCACAAAATCCCCATTGGGACCGTTTTTTTCCCGATGTTCGTTAATAGTAAAAGTTCATCCACCAGAAAGAGAAGTTGAGGGTAGGGGGGTGATGGTGAGAGGGTGCGTGGAAGTGGGGGGTGAGTAGGGGGGGGGGATCTTGACCTCTCAGCAGAAGGTTAACAAATTTGTGCTTAATGATTGGAGCAATGAATGCTGGGACAAAGGGTCTCCAGCCGAGACTGGCAGGAAAGGGGTTACAGGCAGCGTTCACTCAAGCGTTCTGCCCGACATTTTGGGTAAAGCTGAGAGCGGGGAGGGCCAGAAAAATTCCATACGCTCTCCGCCATAATTAATTCTTCCACTCTGTGATAACTATTGTCCTGAAACTGAAAATTACAGTTTTCTGGGGCCACCCCTGGCTAATTTTGTGGAAGAGGGAAAGCAGCGGAGAGGAAGAAGGGAAAGGGGGTAAGGGTCATCCCAGAGTCATTCTCGTCGCTATCAAAGGCTCAGCTCGCTTCTGCTTCACTTGCTGGGCTTCATCTCTGCTGACAGGTGTATTGTTTCGCGAGGGGATATAAGCTCTGTAATCATCATCGGCTGGAAAGCATAACGCTCCTCACTAAGCAGGACTAATTGGCTTTAGTTTTAACTAATGTTTCAGAGTGACTGCTAGACACACCTTCTGTATCGAGGCTCAGCACTCCCAAACACAATAACCGCTCGATTTAGCCCCGCGGTAACAAAACCTCAACTCTGCTAATGAAAATTGCTTATAAAATATAATGAACCTGTGCTCTCGTAATCAAATAAGATAACTGTCCCCCCCCCCCCCCTTCCAGTAATAACCTATTAATTTAATTGGTCATGAAAGAATATAACACATCACTTACATTTAATTGACCTAGAAAGGAAAGTATTTGATGGAGGCAAGCTAGCAGCTAGCGATGGTAAGCTAGTGAAGCTGTGAAGACACCATCTCTCTCCTAGCTTCTACCATCTTCCCTCCTCCCTCCTTTCTTTTACTCCCTCCACCCCTCCCTCTTTTCGTTTACGCTTCTCTCGCTTGCCATCTCTTCATCCGCCCCTCCCTCTTTTCCGTCTACCCCTCTCTCTTTTTTCTTCCGCTGTCTGCTCGTCCTCTCTGCGCTTTACCCGTCTCGCAGAGGATTCCTCTGGTGGCCCAATTACGAGATTCAGCAGGCAAATTGAGGCTGTTTAAAGCAAGGTCTACTGGGAAGGCTAGCAGCTGCTGGAAAGAGGCAGCTTGGACACGGCGAACCAGCCCTCATGTTTACACACTCACACACATAAACACACACACACACACGTCTCATTCTGAAACACAGCCTTTCTATTACCATGTCTCCCTGCATTTCAAACCTGAAAGATGCCATTCGATGTGAGATTTTCTGTCATTGCTTTGTCGGGGACATTTGACAGAAACAAGGGCGGCATATTTTCATCGTGGCACACACACACACATTCCGTGGAGGGTTAATGGTCTCTATTTTTGTAAACTGAATAAGTCAAATCCATTGGTCACACCTCTGGTGATGGCATATTTAATTTGGATCTAGTCAATTAGGCCCAGCTAAGCTCCATACCCTGCTGGCTACCTCCTCCATTTTGCACTAGTTTGTGTCCCCTCCCAGTGCCAGGAGTAATCCTATTACCATACACACACATGCATACACACACATACAGTCGTACTTGGGCAGATGCATGTTTGTTTATGGTGTTCATACCAACACAGGTACACACACCCACACACACACACACACACACACACACACACACACACACACACACACACACACACACACACACACACACACACACACACACACACACACACACAACACACACACACACACACACACACCCACACACACACACACACACACACACACACACACACAGGATTCATACAAACACAGACATACTAAACAATGATGTTTCACAACAATTGGACCCATAGCCACTTTATACACACACTGTGACTGTAACACCAAGCCTGTACACATCCAGAATTATGTGGGAGTGTATTTGGCCCTGGGGCGAGAGAGAGAGAGAGAGAGAGAGTGGGAGGGAGGGAGGGAGAAGGGGGGACGAGGAGGTGAGAGAAAAAGAGAGAGGCAGAGAATTAAAGAGAAAGAGAAAAAAGGTGTTTGTGTGAAAGAGATAGAGGAAGAAAAATTGACAGTGAGAAAAACCACAAAGAGGGAGTGAGACAGAGGGAGCATTAGATAGAAAGGGGGGGAGAGGGGGGGGAGAGGGGGAGTTGTTCTTCTAGCTGGTTAGTGTGTGTATTAATGTGGCTCATGCATCAACAGCAACCCGGCAGATTTATGACACTTAAGGGGCGCTCACTTCTCTCCCTCTCCTTGCACCAGCGACGACTGCTTACATTTTTGCCAATCAGTCTGTTGCCATGGCAACGTCCTACCTGCCCCCCTACCCCCCCAAGTCCCCCACCCGCCCCGTCCCGCCCCATCCCCGCCTTCTCCTCACCCCTCTCATCCTCTCTCCTCTTTGCCCTGTACTACTATATGTTACACACACACACACACACACACACACACACACACACACACACACACACACACACACACACACACACACACACACACACACACACACACACACACACACACACACACACACACACACACACACACACACACACACACACACACACACACACACGAACATTTGTACCATTACACGTGTCTAGTTGTAGTACTCCAAAACATTTTGTATATGTGTACACCCAAATGTCCAAATTGTCTGTTCTTATCTCTCCCGCTTTGCTTTTGTTCCTCTATTTTCCTCCTGTCCTGTAGCTATGGGATATGTGGGAGAGTTAAACACAGCTGCACAACACACACACACACACACACACACACACACACACACACACACACACACACACACACACACACATCACACAAGTACAAGGTTGTGATCAAAGGCTCTTATCACCAGAACAAGGGAAGGACTGTAACAAATAAAAAAGTACCAACTAAGAATTGCAAAACAATCACATGTGCACTTTACATTGGTGCAAAATGTCCTGTCCTGATCTGCAGTTAATGTATTCATGAATAATGTACTGTAGGGCCCCACATTAAAAATATTGTGGACACGTCTCAGCGCATGTGTTAGTCAGTGTGTGTCTTACATCTTCCTTTGTGTTGCGATTGGTCGGATTGGGGCGGGGCTACATGTAGTGCCACTGACCTTCCATGCCCATGTTCATGCCCATCCCTCCCATTGCTCCTGAGAAACACAGAGAGAGTACATTTAGATGCAACACTTAAAATATAATGCTTTTATGAAGTCAGTGCGACCAGGAAAATGTTTGCACACGGCACTGGAAAACACATAGGTTTGTACCAGTGATCGGTTTCCTGTGAAACTAACTTTATACACAACATAGCAGAGAAGCACACTGGCTTAAATCTGGTAGTGAGGTGCAGTGAAGGGGGGGGGGGGGTTAAGTAGCCTGACAGTTTATCCAAACCTGCTGACTTTGAGTGGAGGGTGAGATAGGGTTAGGGACTTGAGAGAATCCCAGAAAACAGGGGATAGAGGAGGAGGAGAGGAGCTTATGGACAAACTCTGGGATTAGACCTGATGGCGTGAGAGAGAGAGAGGGACGAGAGAGCAGAGGGAGTGGGAGAGAGGAAGGAGATGGTTGTGTAATGTGATTGACCACACCTGTTCTGGTTTGTGTGTCGAAGGAGGGGGAGGTAGCAGTGTGTACAGTGTGTGTGTGAGGGTGCACATACTGTACAGCTTACACACAGCGACTATAAGTGCTGAGAAAAGACATGAAGTACTCTAGTAGAAAAAAAACACAAACATGTCAGATACTCTATGTTCTGACACCTAGAGATACTGCTCTGTTCATTCCCAAAGATATTGAAGTGACTGTTATTTTGTATATATTGATTGTTGTGTTTGTATCTTAATGTGTGCATATGTATAAATGTGTTGTATGTCGGAAATACATATTTTATATATATTTTTATACATATTTGTATTTGGGATTGTGGGAAACAGTATTTCGATCTCTCTGTCTGTACACACAAACTGGAAGATTGACAATAACTTTGACTTTGACTTGAAATACAAGAGGAAGGACTGATGAGGGAAGAAGAGGGGGGGGGAAGGAGGGTAGATGCATGAAAATGAGCAGTGAGGAAAGAATGGAGGAAGATGGGCATAGTGAGGGAGGAAAGAAAGGGACAGACACGCGAGAGAGAAAGCCTTACCAGGTGGTCTGATTCCCATGTGCTGCTGGCCGTCCATGACGAAGCCCCCCATCGGCTGGCCATCTGGATTGTAGGGAGGTCCTTGACTTACTGTGGATGTAGGAGGAGACAGAGGGAGGGAGGGAGGGGACGGAGTGGTCAATTAGTACTTTTAATTAAGGCTCAGTGGCCGAAGCGGGATCATCTGTTGGCCGGTGCACGCACAGGGAGCCGTCCTGCTCCGAGTCGGCCCAGCCGCTGCACTGTAAGCCCCTGGTAGACTTTAATGCGTCTAAATGCACTAATAGGGATCGGACTGAGAGAGTACAACACACACTACAGTTCACAAAGGTGAGACTTGAGCCATCTGGAAGAACTGTTTACACAATGACTGATAGGAAGCCAATAAAAATGACTCCTTGTGTGGGGAAAATGATTGTTTTATTTACTTAACCTACATTTTTTATCTTTTTAAGCAGCTGTAAGGTTGTAAAAATCATCTTAATTCTCACGGTTTGGGTTTGATAGTATTATATGTTGTGTTGCAGCTAATTTTAGCTCTTCATCAAAGCTATTGGATCTCTAGACTAATTAAAATATAAAAACGTGGAGATTTCTTTCTTTTTTTATGTTAATAACAAGTTCATGAAGCATTTACAGTACAAACAATTTATGAATTTTAATCCAAAACATTGCTGCTGTATAATGCAAAGTTAAAATTGTTTTATTCAGACAATACTTATCACGACTTGTTATGTAGAAGAAAGGACCCTTTGTCTTTTAACACTGCTATATTTATGGCCTTAAACCTAATTGCTGCTCCTATTAATGTATGATTACACACATGATCAAAAGGATCAAACGAGTCCCAGGCTGAAGCTCTGATCATTTGTGTCAACAATAAGTCATTCTTGCTGAGTGGCTTCAGAATCCGCTCCTACCTAAATGCTCTTTCTAATAAATACTGCCTATAACTGAGCAGCTACGATAAGTGAAACCTGATAGGGTTCCTATTTTTTCCCTCGCCTCCATTGTTCTGCTCTCATAGAAATCCACTTACCTTCGATTCAGGCTGTTTGGGGGTCAGTCAAGCAAAAGCAAGACCTCGGCCCCACTGAATGCCTTTGAACTTTACTGCGCCCCTAATGCCACCCTGACCCCTGACCCCTATTACAGGTAATAAAGTTTACGGCAGTCCAAACCAAGCCATGCACCAGGGGGACCGCTCACTCCCCTCGCTCCCTAAAACAGCCGCAAATAGGGTTGAGGGGGGAGTTTAAAGGAGTGAGAAGGGGGGGGGGGGTAAAAACAGGTCTGGAGCCAAAAAGCCAAATAACGGTCACCCAAGAAAAGAAACGGGTGTCGTTCTCTTTATGTTTTGGTTTGAGCCAGGGAGGAAGGGGTGAGTGTTTTTATTTTTTTTACTTTGCCTGGTTGGCGAAAGGGGGGAGGAAGGGGTTAAGAGCACATTTACTGAGAACACAGCTAGTGTTGTTTACAGGCTGAGAAAATAAATCCACTCGTCGTTAACTCATTTTCAGCCAAATTATTATATTGTATAATGAGCAAATTCTCACCCCAAATGGCACGTCAAAGTGGATTAATGGTTGCTGTTAATGTTGTAATGTTTTGGTTCTTAATTTTAGTGGTCAGTCACGACAGAGGAGGGGAAAGCCCCTCCAGGTTTTGGACATTCCAGGATGGGGTATCAGGCCTGTATTTACCAGCTGAGGGGCCTCCGGGTGCATGGATTGAGGACGGCTTTCGCCTGCGCGACTTGAATACAGTAACTAGAGGAGACTTGCCTGCACGGTTTGACTGGTCAATCATGGGCTGCACTATTCTCCTCCGGGCGTTAATGAACCTGAAGAAGATGAAGAGAGAGAGAGGAAGAAAAGAGAGGGGACAAAGAAAGAGAAACACTGTCAGTGTATTTCCCAAAACAAGATCAGACAAACATTGCTGACTAAGACTTTGGAAATCTTGGCACACAGCTTGAAAACAAAAACAGTGCCAAAGCAGTCTCCTTCTTTAAGTAAACCATAACAGTTATATAGGGAAATTATTTTCCACTAAGCAACCCTGAGCCGGCAAAGCCCCAACAGAGTCACATCTTAGCAGCGTTACCAAGGCTTGCAAAAAGTCCACGACTTGTATAAACTTGCACAGCCTCAGCTCATATGCAGAAGCATGGGCCTGAACACTGGGGTCTTTGTGGGGCGAGGCTTAACCGGGATTTTCTCCGAGCCTGTTTGAAACATGTCGACCCATCTCTCTTTGTCGGGACGTTCCACCTCACAACGAGCTGAGATTGCTGACTGTTTAACACACTTGGCTTGGAGCGTGGCAGTGTGGGAAGTGTTGCTGACAGAAACATGTCACGTTGCCACTGGTGAGAGGCATTGTTTTGGGTGATACTCTGTTAAGACAGGTGACCATGTGTTACTCTGTGACAGCAGGAGCTTTTTTTAGTGACTGTGTGTGTGTGTTTTCACAGGAGCTGGATTTGGTACATACAGGCTTAGAAAAACCTCGTTTACCCCGTGACCTCCAATAAAAGCACAGGGTCAGAACATTTATTGAGCACACACACACACATACACACACTGTTACTCGTATTTAAAACTGCTACTGCACACACACACTCACTCTTAATCTCTCTCCCTCTTCTACGTCCATTCACACACATTCACGCCCTCGCACACACTCACACAGGCCGTGCTCTGGCCTTGCTCAGCCTAACCCCTTTTGAAATGACCTGTTGACCTGTAATGACCCCAAGGAGAGAGGGCTCTTGGGGCTTCTGACTTGATTTATGTGTTCCTGCTGTTGCCCAACCGGACACTTCTATTTCATCTCTAAAAGGGGGAGCATTAGCCGAACTTTGAGGAAACAATAGCCGTGCAACGCTGGAAAAAAGGAGCATTTAAGAGTTCTAAAGAAAGGAGAGGGACGGATACAAAAGGACACAAGCTGGTGCGTCTGTTTGACCCCTGAACAAGTGAATGGCTTTACTAATATTCCTTCTCTAACTGCTTTATGGTGATTTTTTCTGTCCGTTATCTATCCTGTATCACCTTCTCCAGACGGAGCTGCGGGGTAATGAGGAGACGGAGAGTGGCAGAGACAGATAGCAGTAGGAAGGCACAATGATTTGAAGCTTAATTGTGTCCCTGCATTGTTTTTGTTATATCTCATAATCCGCTTTAGCGAAATTGTTAAATTTTTGACAGGAGCTTTCTGTGAGGTGAAATGTTCTGGGAAAGAACAGGAAAAGAAGCGACGGGGATCTGAAGCCTTTGAAACCTCGGTGTTTTGGCGATTTTGTTGTCTTTTCGTTACAATATGTAGAACTGGAATTTGGGGGAGAGAGACAGAAAGAGCTCGGGAGGAATGCACTGACATGGCAGAGCACCATCAAATGAGAGAACGTCTGGAGTTTTATCACCAACACCCCCTCCCTCCCTCCCTTCCTCCCTCGCTACCCTGTTTTGCTGGGGGAGATATGGGAGGAGGAGAGAGGGCAAGGAGGGTTGAGGAGGCCTGAGCATTCCTTTAACTCTCCTCTGCAGGCCCTTTATAGAAGGACGAGGTCATATGAAGGCCAGCACTGGCTAACTGTTGACCTGTCCTTCTCCTTCCTATTTCTCTCCTGCAAAAACCTCGTCCTTCTACCTCCCTCAAAAGTACACCGGTGCGATAAGGTAGGTTGTTCTGCCAATAGGTGTGCACTTGTTAGGAAGTCTGGCATTTGTTCCTGCTACAATAGGGCTCAGAGAGGAATGTAATTGACTTGTTACTTGATCTGACCTCCCAGAAATATGGCACCAGTGCTTATTTACTCTAAGGATTAACCAGACTACGTATCAATGAAGTCATAATCCTACTATTACTGCTACTGCTGCCACTAGGCCTACAAGTGCAGCTCCAGAAAGAACAGATCTGCCTCCCTCTCCGTCCCCCTCTGTATCTGTTTCCTTCTCCTGCTCTCCTTATCATTCCTTCCCTGTATGGTGGAAACTGGCGGCCCACCTCCCAGCAACGAACCCACCAAACCCCCTCCTCTTCGCAAAAACTCTCGCCGGTTTCCTGTCCCTGTCGTCCCCATATCTGAGGCCAGATGCACCATGGGGGCTGGAACAAAGGATAAAATGCCTCTCATAATAGCAGCCAGGGGAACGGAGCGATGGAGAGCGGGAGAATGGGAGGGAAGGAGGAGTGAGAGAGTGGGGACAAAAAAAATGCAAGGGGCTCTGTTCTGCAAACCAGACACTCTCGCTGTGACCGTTAATAAGCTGACCGAGAGAGAGGGAGAGGTAGGGGTGAGGAAGAGAGAAGGGGGGAATTAGAAGAGAGGAAATAAGACTCAGAGAGAGATAGAAAGAGAGGAAAAGGGAGAGAAAAGCGGAGCTGCTCTATTAGGGGGAGTGAGGCTTCACCTTTGCACGACCCCTGGGTGCTATAGGGCCAGTGTTTATGGCCTGTTCGTTCCCCTGCCTCCCATCACAACACAATGAGCTGCACTATTCAGCTCCGCTCACTGCAACAATAGCTGGGCTATTTTGGCGTGACACACCACTGGTGGTACGCCTAAAGTTGGGCGAAAAACACCAAAACACAAGCAGGAGGAAGGGAAATGACTTAGAATAAAAATTGTAGAGTTCAGGGAATGAAACACTACCAGGGGGATACGTTTGATTCCCACAAAGGGCACATGTGGTTGACATAAGCATGCACCCAGAGTGGATCGAGAAACATGCCTGCCACATGTAACGCCAGAAGTAAGGCTCTTAAAAGTCACATTAAGGAAACTGGGTTAATTTTATTCTTTGTTGTTCTGCCTTCAATCTATTTCTCCTTCTGAGATTGCTGATGTCTGGTTAATCCTCCCGCCCCTCTCCCTCCTTCTCTGGAAAGAGTGGAACTGATTGCGACGGCGTCTGCCAAGCCCTTGCTAATGTCCTATTCTCATTACACCCGGGGACACACACACACGTCCCCGACACACTGAGCCGAGGCAGCCGCACACAGGTGTACACGAAGCACACGTGAAATGCCCAATTAAAAGCAAGAAATTGTCTTTTTCATCAGCTGCCTTTGTTGCGTGACCAATTAGGGGATAATTTAATAACGAGCAGTGGAAAGATGCAGATTGGATATACAAAAGGTTACTCTGCGAGCTCGTTGATTTAAATTCATGTGGAGTTCTCAATTTCTGTAGCACACACACATCTCGTGAGCGTTCCACCAATATCATATTAGTAATATGAGACACACACACATGAACACACACATAGACATACAGATATAAATACACGTCCTCTGCACTCACTGGCAATATTACATTAGTAATCTGAGGAAATGTGCACCCACACATGCACAGGCCTGCACACACATTTATACACACATACACACACGCATCAGGACCTGGTGGTGGATTTCAGTGCACGCTGACAGAGGTTTACATGCATATTCAAATCTGAGAGCCGCTTAAAATAACTGTGTAACCACACACTCCTCCTAGCTGCCAATCAATGTGATTTAAAAGCACTAAAAAGAAAGGAAGCTCTGACGGGTAGAATCATGTAGCTTATCATCAGGTTGTCACTGCGCGGCAGCATCGATTGTCTGCTGCTCAACCACAATTAACGCCTAGCCATATATCATTCCTACTAACTGCTGAACACACACACGCGTACTGCTCTGTCATTTTATCTGAATTCATTATTTGAACTGAATAGTTTTTTGCAGATCACTTTTTGACCAATTTTGTTTCTTAAAAAGTGATTTGTACTCAAATTAGTCTTACACACAAATGCAGTTGCCAGTCATAAATCAAGGACAAGCTTTCGCACAGCCTGTTGAATCCACCACACACACATTATGTACTCTTTTCCCATTCTTATGTCACACTTTGCATCCCTGCAGAACTTTATTATCAGGTCCCGTGTCCCAGCACATCTCCATCTTCTTAACTAATTACTTGTTTTATTACAGCTCCACGTTCTCGTATGCACAGCAGGGGGTGGAAGTGTATGCCTCTGAATGTACCTGCACACTGCATATATATGTTAATGAGTGTACTGCATGTGGGTGTGTGAGGGAATTACAGTTATGAGTTTCTCCCCTTGTTCTCCTCATTTGACGAGTTCAATCATAAATCACCTCCTTCGTTTGACCCACATATCTCCCTCCCTCCCTCCCCCTCTTTCTCTCCTCCCCAGTGTCGATCTCAGGTCAGATGCCAGGATTAGATGGCTCAGATTAGTTTGAATAAACTAATGTAGCTGCTTACAGAACTATATTTGTATTTGGATCACAAAACATCAGTAGTTTTTCCATTTGCTTTTATTGCATTGCATTTATGAAGTTTGCAGGAATTGTATTTGGGCCTATACTGCTAAAACAATTGACACAGAAGTCAAAACAAAAAAAGAGTGATTTTACAAAAGCTGGTGTTAGTCTTTTTACAAGCAAATCATTAAATATATTTTTTATTAATATTTAGAAATATTTGCTATGATGGAGGTAAAAAGGCAAGATATGAATTAGTGATTTCTAGTGAGTTTGACATTCAAACTATGTCCGTAAGACGAATTTTCAATGCAATACCTAATATTTTGAAGAGAATGTACTTTCCTCATTTACTCGTGCAACGCACAACATGTACAAACCTACATGTATACACAGAATAAAATCACACTCATCCAGCTACATGCACTCACCGAGAAGCATCGTTCTTACTGTTTTCCTGAAAGCTTCCCAGGCAAATCAAACAGCTACAAAAAGCTGCATGTTGCAGGTTGGTAACACTCCAACATCCTAACATACTCTTTCCCATGATCCTCTCTGCTTCTTAGCCTA